ATTGACGATTCAACTCCCTCTCCAGGATCCGGATTGTATCCCAGTCAACAGGCTGGGACCGCTTGATAGATTCAATTTCATTCTGAAGAGTCTTTATGTTGCGGAGGGAGTTAGTGGTGCCCGCCCTACTCCAATCATATAAAAGATGACGGAGTTTTTTAAGGCGTTCCCATAAACGAAACATAGGCGTCCCTTGGACGTCCTCTTTCCAGACATAATGGACCATAGCCCGCACTTCAGGATTGTCCGCCCAACGAGCATCAAAGCGGAAGAGAGGGCGACAATTCCGGGCATATGGCTTATCAGAAAGGAAGAGTGCCCGATGATCAGACCCTTGATCAGTGAAATGTTTAACCATAGTATCAGGGAATCTATCAATCCAGGACTGCGAGCACAGCGCTCTATCGAGACGTTCACGAATGCAGGCTGTACCCATCCTCTTATTCGTCCACGTAAACTGATCGCCTTGAAAACCAGGGTCATGCATGCCCAGATTAAGAATGAATTCACGCAGACTTGCAGACTGAGCCGCATTCCAAGGGTTACCACCCTCTTTCTCATTTTCATGAAGGATAGTGTTATAATCGCCAATAACAATGTACGGATATTGAATGGTCGCACAAACATCATTAAGATGGGCCAATTGGGAAGCCCTGGTGGCAGCATTACAACTAATGTAAACACACACCACAACATAAACGAAATCTCCTTCATTAACTTGAACACAAATACAAAAGTTGGAATAATAAAAAACCGAAGCAACCACTTCGGGGGCCCAAGCAACAACTAAACCTCCGGAAGCGTCAATCGCATCCACAAAGAAACAATTCGAAAGATCAAAACATAAACCCCGCATACGGCGAGAGACAACACGCCGGCTCGATCGCGTTTCCGAAAAAAACACGAGATCCGATTTATTCGACCGAACTAAACCTACTGCAGTTTGGAATGTGAGGGATGGCCCAATTCCTCTCACATTCCAGGCCAGAAGTCTCATTTATCTGATTGGGGCCACTCTAGGCTGGCTTCCTCCACCTTTTCCATGTCGTTTTTATCCTCCTCTTTCTCTTCAACAAATTGCTTTTTGGGGGTCGGATTATCCGCCATCTCATCATCCAGCTCGTCAAAATGACGTTTCTTCACACCAACCCCTGGCTCAAGTAGATTGCTTCCATACTCATTCAGGGGGGTATTAGTAGCCACATTGATCACTGAATCCAGCAAGACCGTGCGATCCTGAGCTTGTGATTGACTTGAATTGCCATCATCATCATTATCCTTCATAGCCAACCCAAGTTCAAAGGCTCTCACCACCTGACTAACCTTGGAGGTCTTGACCAGCCGTTTCAGCACCCCTGACGCCGAAGGAATACGACTCCGAACCTCATAGAAATCCGCCTCGTCATCAGAGCGAGTGTCATCAGATTCCACATCATGCTGCCTGGTAGAGTGAGGAGAAGGCTTGGGCGACGGTGGCAGGCCCACCTCAGCCCCCTTAACCCGTCCCACTCCGCTGGCCCGCTTCTGTTCAGTAGGGATCAGCCCTGTCAATTTCCTAGGCTTATTGGATCCGCCCATCACAGCCTGATTTTCCCCCAATTTTTGTTTGGCACTTGGGTCTTTTTGAAGAGCCTGCTGCGACTGGGCCAGCGGCCCATTATTTGATTTGAGGCCCGGACGAAGACGCTCAGCTTTCGCCTTGCCCTTCGGTTTGGAAGCAGGAGCAGTCTGACGTTGGGGGTCTTGCGCCGCCGTCAGAGAACTCGGGCCGGACTGATGACTCGGCGGCCGCACCTCCTCTTCTCCGCTAGGCGAGATGGGCTGAACCACGAACTCATCTTCTGACTCGTCCTCGAGGATTAGGCGTCGGCGATAGGACGTATCATTGGTGCCCAACAAGGTCGAACAACCAGAGGATGGCGGCAGCTTACGCCGGGTCGCGTCATTTGCACGATGCTCCATAGCAGGAGCAGCATCCGCAATCTGGTCAGCTCTTGATGATCTCCCATGCCTGCCACGGCGGCGCGGCGCCAGAATCGGGTCATGCCTCTCATCGATCTCCATCGGGCTGCCTACAGTAGCCGCCTTCCCTTTACCACGACGAATCTGCCTTCCCAAGGGGAATTTAGGGGCCTTCGGAATTGGGAAATGAAGGGGGCTTCTCCCCAATTTGGGTCGGTGTTCAGCCTGCTTTGTGGTGGCGAACGGATTATCAGAGGATCCCATCCACAGTGGGACATCATCCACAGTTCGATTCTTACTTGGCTGACTGTCTTGCCGCGCCATGGTACCCGTGCGATGCATCCCTCGGTCCTCCTGGCCATTTTTCTGTCGAGCATTAGTTATAATCCAGACAGAGTTGGGGTGACCAGAGAAACGCTGAATATGGTCTTCTTCTTCAAAGATTTTCCTTCCCATTTTTTGGTCGTCATATGAGGACCAAAACGTTCTTTTCGTGTTGGCGGATCAAACAAACAGTTTTGACGGAAGTGACCCACACGCCCGCAATTATAGCAAAAGCTGGGAAGGTGCTCATATTTGAACCGGATCCAGAAAGACCCCGTCTCATCATTGGTGGCCCATATTTGAGATCTCAGCGGTTTTGAAAAATCTATGAGGGTCTTGACCTTGATGAAGGTACTGGCAGAATCCGTGCAGGAAAAAATTCCCGCTTCGAGAACCCGGCCAAGTGTGGAGCTTGCCACCTTTCGTCCAAATTGTTGAGTGCAGCATTCTTCTTGCACATCCCACATTTGGACTCGGAATGGCGCAATTGCCATCTCATCAAAAGTTCGAGCCGTGATATTCGGTGTCCAGGCCCGCAGGTGCAGGATTTTGTCATTGATAACCCATGGGGTGCGCTGGAGCACCCAGTTTTTCGCCGCTTCAGATGGGAGTACGAACTCATACAATCCATGAGCCGCCTCCCTAACCTTCATTCGCCCCTGGCCTTGCCATGGGTTATTCATTGCTTCACGTAGTTCAGTCGTAGTCAGCCGATCTTCAGCGAACAGGCGGCCAAGCAGCATCCTCGATTGGCGAACCCTGACGGATTGTATCTCCGTTAGCTAAAATTCCACGACCTGGTCACTAGCAATACGAGCCATGGTAGCCGACTGCAACAGAGAATCGAGGTTCAGCTCACAGGAACTAGTAATAGCCAAAGCCTCGCTAACAGACACCCAAGGGTAGCTCGAGAACGTGAAGTTACAAGAATTGTTAGGACTATCATATACCCATAAACAGAGAATGACTTCTGAGGTAAGAATTTCCCACTTACCAGAGTATGCCTCCTGCTTAGGGTTGTAACAGCAGCAACTATGCACCCAGTCCTCCTCTCGAAGCTTGTGATGGTGAGAGGTAAGGTTGGAGGGCGGCGTTAAATAAGCAAGACAAGTTGGAGACCTCTCCTGGTGCAGGAATTCTATTTGAACTGGGGAACTAAAATAATTCGAATTATAGATTCGGTTGGTGGATAATTCAAACCGCATATAGAAACGGCGGACCAGAAAATCCCCCCGACTGTTATACGTCCCCGAGAATAACGCGATCCTACTGACCGTCCGCGATCCCGCAACTTTACCTAGCCGCGCACGTTTCGGGCATGGGATCGGCCGGAGGAAAGGTGATGTCCACATCTCCGGCGACGGTCTGCGATGGGTTTTACTGCATACCCCCTGCGTATCAATTTTAATCGAACTCGCCCCATTGCGGGATCTGAATTCGGAGCTCGCCCCATTTCGGGATCTAAACTCAAGACTGGGTGTTTCAGACCCTGGAGCCAGGGTCCTGGTCGGAGCTATTTGCCCCTGTTGCTGATTCACTGAAATTGGATCATCATGTGTCTCCAAATCTGCCTCCTCCGACGATGGTAAGTAAAATCGCCACATCACTTGTCTAGAGCGACGCATTCGCTTGGGATGAATGGATTATAACTAATGATCTTGTCAATGTTAAATTCGGAACGGTTGGCCCCAAGAAAGCAGTTGGAAAGCATGTGGTGCGAGTGGGTAGAGATGGAAATCAGGCACAAGAATTTCAAACCTCCTTTGGAGCTTCTGACTCTGAGGCGGGCAACAGCAAAGCTATCAGTTGAGGTCAAGCGAAGAGTGGCTGCTGATGGGAATGAAGAACTTGTTCAGATGAAACTGCACAAGTCCTTGAGACTATGGACTCTCTATGTTGATCTAGAGGAGGGCCTAGGTACATTAGACTCCGACTCGTGCAGTTTATGAGCGAATGTTGGACCTAAAAATAGCTACTCCACAAATAATAATCGATTATGCATCCCTTTGAGGTCCTCCATGGAAATGAAGATACCTTCAGAGAAATGCTGCGAATCAAACGAACTGTTTGTGCTAGTCATAGCCAGGTATGCTCGCCTAGTCCTGTGCATTTTCTACAATGTTCCATCCATACTTTACTGCAAATGTTCTATACCTTACAAAACAGGAATCAAATATATTTCCCCGAGTTCAGGTTGAATAGTTGAGTGAATGATTGCCATTCTAGCTCAACAATTTGGTTGATAGAAGCCATACAAAGAAAAATTGCCACGTACATTAGAGGTATAATTCCCTTCAGGATATGACATTTGATGATAATGGAAATGGGAATCAAACATTCATCTCGTGTTCTATATGTGATTGAGATTGGTTGGGGATAAATATGAATGTGCAGTTTTGGTTCCAGTTTCATTGTATGTACTTTCATACAGTGTTTCTGTCTGTTGTAGAATTAACCCCTCACTGGAGATCTGGGGGTTATTATGCTGAGGGCTCCGAGTGTAGTGATACTGAACACCACATGTAATTTAATCTCATTGTATGGTTTTATTATAGATTTGTCTGGATGACTTTTTGATTCTGAACTTTGCTCTTAAATCTGTACTGTTGCAGACACACTTCATTCTACCAGAGTATGTGCTGCAGAAAGATCAGAGGATGAGCATACATGAGGCAAAAGACAAGTTGAAACAGGCCGGGCTCCCCGTGGACGAAATGGCTACTCTTGAAAAACAGTTAGCACCAGTTGGTACCATTATTGACAACAGTGCTGCTGCAAAAGATGGCAACAACAGAAAAACGGTAGGGTTCGTACGGGCTGGAGTGCAGACGCAGACTGATGGCGGGGTAAAAGTTACGAAAAATCGAGAAGACATTGAGCTGCCTGAAGAAAGTGACTCCGATGGTGGTGATGAGAAAGTGGAAGTTGCACAGAAGGATGTTCCATCTGAGGTCTTTGGAGGACTGGTTAGAAAGAGGGATGATTCTGAGAAAGATGGCTGCGAGGAAAATGCTCTTGCAAATAGTGAAAACCGGCGGCTTGGTGCTCTTGATAGGATAAAACGACATAAAAGGGCCGAGTGGCGCGAGATGGATAGAAAGCCAACGGGTTTGATAGATTTTGGTGTTGTTTTTCAATGGCCTTCGAGAAGAACTTGTGTGGTGGCTGGTAAAGTTTTGCCATATACAGTTGCATTCTTCTTTCACATATTATCATTAGATCAATACTGAGATTGAAGCTTGAAAGGGTAATTTGATTTGGTTACTTATTGGGAGCACAAAAAGCCAATATCGTTCTACAACTCTACGCTTTCACACCCAAACATTTCTTCTAGGAAGCTTCACGTGAAGAAAAAAAATGGGGATGGAAACTAGTCCGTTCATTCTTCAGCAGTGTGCCAACGTAGCTAGAATCAACTAAGAGTACAACATGAAGAGAAAGAGAGCTGAGGAGTATTTACAAGGCATCAAGTTTTGACAGGGGAACAATCTCAAATTACTAACAAGAGATAGTTGACTAACCCACCAAGAAGACAAAAATGCGTCCATCGATCTCGAAGCAAAAGGGAGAATTGATTCCTAAGAAGCCTGCTTGCGCTCCTGCATTAAGATTACACAAGAAACAAGAAACGATCCGTTACAATTTTCAAAAGGTACCCAATAATGTGAGTGATTCATCAAAGCATCAAGCAAACAACGACAAAGACTTTTCGTTACCTCGTCGGCGTTGGTAATATAAGAGACGACGACAGTGATGTCGTCGAGCTTGCCCCCATAGTAACGGAATCCAGCATCCTGTGCAGCAGTTGAGAAAGGGGTCTGCCTGTCTTTGTCTTGTGCTCGTTGTCGTGCTAATGCGGCTATTTTCTGAGCCGTCACCTGTGGCCCAAATCCGGCTCTCACGGCGTGCACAACTACTGCTGTGATCTCGTTGTTGTAAAGGTTGTCGAACAAACCGTCTGTCCCTGCAACAATTACATCTCCAGGAGCGATGGGGACAGTGAATACCTGAAATGAATGCATATAATTTTAGGTAGTTCTAACACTCAAAACAACACGATTGAAACAAATTAAATTATAACTGAATGTTTTCAATTCATCAAGACTATGGCCATAGAAAGATTGTATGGAAACATGGAGATATAGTCAAATATCAATCTGTATCCCGCTATAGACAAGTATCACTAATCTAAGAAAGTAGAACATGATATACAAAAAGTTTTAACAGATGAACATTGATAGCCAAGAAGAGTGGTCTTTGAATATTAACGAATGAACAATAAACTTCCAGATGATAAACAACACAGATTGCACCGTGTGGAAAAGTACAAAATAAATACCTGGCCGGAGCTAGGTAGATCGCCATTATTTCCACTCTCGAGCTGAAATGTAAAATTGAAGTCATGCTGCTGCACAGGAGAGCGGAAAATGGTGCAGCCATCTCGAATCACCATAAAGCCACTGTCCCCTAAATTGATAGCACGTAGGCCCTGCACAGCAAATGAACATCATCAACGAACCAATCCATGGCTATTGTTCTCTTCAGTTTCTGATCATATATGACATGGTTTTCTCAATAAGCCGAGCAATGAGCTTTTAAATGCTGGAATGCAACTTTTTAGTAAACATGACAAAAATAGTGGCAGAGAAATAAGGACCTCTTCTGTGAGAGCTATGATGCAAGCTGTGGAGGAACCTTTAGCTTTTGTACTAGAGTGAGCTTTCTCCAAGACTCTAGCTGGGTCAACAGATCCCTTGGGCTCCTCCAGGATTGCATCAACCGAATGAGACATGAGTTCCCTCGAAAACAATCCTGCATCAACACCAAGATCGGCCCAACCACCAACGCCATCAGCCACCCCTACAGCTTGCTTGTCTGAACAGATGAAGTGAGCATCCTCTCCACCGGTTTCTTCCTTGTCAGGATGAGGCAGGCAGCATGATCCAGAGAGTAGTTTCAGTGACCTTCCTGAGAGCTTTCTGTAGTCCATTTCAAGAAAAGAAGATAATTTAGTTCCAGTGATTACTTGCACAAAGACATCATTCATTGCTGTAACAAAAAAATTGGAAACTTGGGAATGAAACATACGATTGTGATGAATCTGAAGCACCAACATCAAGCCTTTCCTCACGGTTCGAGCTTTCATAATTCACATTAGAAGCAGATCCAGCGGAAAAGCATGATGAAGAGGAGCTATGGAAATGCCTGACTGCCATCTCTATGTTCGAAGAAACACCTAACCACTTGTTTGCCGCGTGATATGCCAAGTACCCATAAACTGGAGAGTTAGAAGAACACTGTTCAGAACTTCTTGAGCTCATGCTGGCCATTTTGAAACTTCTATTTCCAAAAGCGATGTTCTCACTCCTGGTTGAGCAAGGTAAACGAGAACCCTTTTTTGAAGTAAGGCTCTCCAAGAGGCTCTCACCAAGAAAAGATCTTTGCACAGAAGCAGCCATGTTGCTGTTCTTTAGCTTCTTCCCTGCTGAGATTGCACCAGTGTCACAAACAGCACGATCGATGTGATAACCAGCAACTTGATATGATGGACCTGAAACAGACGGTACAGAGAAGGTGCGCGAGAGCGCTCCAACGACAGAGATATTCCTCTCCCTGTTAACTACCAATGAATCAGCTCCAGCTGTAGAAACAATACCGGGTCTCCAAAGCAGCTGGAGGTCTGTCAGGGAAGCAATCCGAACGGTATGCAGCAGCTTATAGTTACAGAAATGAAACTTGCTCTGCCCAATCAGAATATCAATGGACTCCTGAACCCTGTTCTCTGGCCCTACGAATGACCTCTGAATCCCATTCTGAACAGCAGCTCTCAGCTTGGAGAAATTGGCAGACGGCATCTTTTACCTCCTTCCCAAGCAAACCAGTGTCCCTCCTCTACCCCCAAATTCAAGATACAATCTCATAACTAATCAGTTCATCTATTGTCCCAAAACAAACATCGCCCAAAAGATCCACCAGAATCCCCCTGTATCAATCAACAATAGAAAGGGGACGAGAAGTAAGACGGATCCAATCCAATCTATAAAATTTCCCAAATTGTTCGACTCCTACGATTAATTCTTCAACGGGGAGACTTAGTGATCGGCGAGAAATGGAAAAAGCGGTAAAAGAAAGCATGAACGCACCTTCGTCGGAGGAGAAACCAGAACCAAGAAATCGAAAATGACAACCGCTATTATCCGAGAAAAGAGGAAGCTAAAAGTGGCAAGGCGGCTGGACACGTTGCTGCCTAACGAGTAACGACCCCCCTCTCCCCCTTTTCCCCGTCCAACTTTCTTTCTTCTCGGAGCTTCTTCGCTCTCCGTCCGGCGATCGGCCGGCCGGTGAGAAGGAGGCGGCGGAGTCCGGAGAGTACGGGGGAGGCGAGCGATCTTCCACGAAACGCAGAGTTTACGGAAACCCTAAATTCTGAAGACAGTGACAAGTAAACGCACGGAGGCTTCACGAAGACTGTAAGTTTACGGCATCTCAGACAGAAAATCATTTTCTTTTCTTTTTCCAAGTTAATGGACAGTTTTGGGCAAGCAAGAAGTGGCTGATTAAGGTGAGGTTGGTGAGTTTAGCGAGGGCATTTTCGTAATAGGAGACCTTGAACTGGGGAAGCACGAGGCATCGAGCGTCCAAGTGGGCCATGTTGATATTCCGAGCTTTTGTTTTGTTGGGTATGGTCCAAACAGATTGGAAGAAAAGCCCAATTATATGGATCTTGTTGGCAGGCTGGCGACAAATCTTCCTTCTTGGATTTTATTTCTTACCTTTCCTTTCTTTAGACGGAGCAGGGATATGTAAATACTATCGGGGAAAGTTAATATGCTAACTTGAAGATTCGTTAGCAGATACTAACTGTCTGCTAACTGATATTCAAATTACATGAACTAATATCCAAGTACTAAAATATCTAGAGAGCACAGACTAGTATTCAAAATTTGCTAACTGATATCCACCATGAATCAACTATTATCCCAAATTTACAAACTAATATATAGACAACATAGAATAGTATTCAAACAGCACATAATTAGTATCCAGATAACACATTAGAGTATCCAGATAACTCATAAGAGTATCTATATTGAATACTCTCGCATATCCCGGTGGCTGAGATTCGGGGCCTAGGAGAGCTAAGGGCGCTGGAGACTTTGAGAATCGATTCCTTGATCCTGAACTGCCTCAACGGGCTTGTGAATCTGCTCCTTCTCACGACCCTGATCCTGAGGTACGCCCGCTGGAGAGACTGCCTAGTCTAGCGAATTTGGGCAAGTTGAAGGATATGGAGGTTCGTGGCTGTTCGAATCTTGTTAAAATCCATGGCCTCTTCTGGGAGCATTGGAGAAATTGGTTTGGTGACGGGAAAGGGAAGGAAGAAATGATTTGGGTAACGACAAATTTGGTTGGGGAAGGGAAGGAAAAAGGAAGAGAGATGGAGAGAGAGTAAATAATTAATTATTTCTATTATTATTTTCCATCTCATTTTTATATTGTTTATTTTTTTAATTAAATCCACGTAGGAAACACGTACGGGACAAAAATCGCCAGATCAGACGATCTGTTAGTCTAGTCAGCACGTTAATTCACACCGTCAAAGAATTGGACGAAAGTGGCTATTTTTGGTATTTCACCAAAAATGGCTATATTTGGCCAAACCGTCAAAGTTTTGGCTATACAAGTGTATTTTGCCTACTATCGGGGAAAGTTAATATGCTAACTTGAAGATTCGTTAGCAGATACTAACTGTCTGCTAACTGATATTCAAATTACATGAACTAATATCCAAGTACTAAAATATCTAGAGAGCACAGACTAGTATTCAAAATTTGCTAACTGATATCCACCATGAATCAACTATTATCCCAAATTTACAAACTAATATATAGACAACATAGAATAGTATTCAAACAGCACATAATTAGTATCCAGATAACACATTAGAGTATCCAGATAACTCATAAGAGTATCTATATTGAATACTAGTTGGTTGATTGTGGATATTAGTTGGTATCTGCTATCTGGATACTAGTTTGTGATATTTTGAATTCTAGTTTGTGATATCTAGATACTTAACAGATTTGGATATTAGTTCATACATTTTGGATATTAGTTAGTATATGCTAACGAATCTTCAAGTTAGCATATTAACTAGGTTGAATACTATCGGTTTGGGATTGATTTTTTTTTGGTCCAAGATAAGTCAAGAAGGTCCACACAAAGAGAA